AAACCCCCCCCCCCCCCCCCTCCCCCTCCGCGCTCTCACGCGAACCGAACGGGCACCCCTACTTGCTTGATGGCCCGGCTGGTCACACCCGAACCGAGGAGAACCGCGACGGCGCTGGAGGTGGCCGGCCGGGTGTGGTGGTGGTGGTGGTGTCTGGTTGTCTCAAATTTTGCCCGTGTCGTCTGAAGACATTTTTTTCTCCGCAGTGTTCCGCCTCACCCGGAAGCAAGCAAACGGCAGGTAGGTAGGCGTCGTTCACAAGGTCTGTCTGTCTGCCTGTCTGCTTAGGTAAGACCCCGAAAAGAGGGTGATTTTTCCATCCTTGCATGTCCCTAGTAGGAGCGGGGGGGTGGCGTGTTTTGTCCACCAAGACCCGGCAGGGGGCTGCCAACGGGACTGATTTGATCGATGTTGTGAGTGTTTGAGTGTTGAAGGAGACGATATTGCCCGGCTTTCTCTTGTCTCTCGCGTGTTAGTCTCTTGCGTGCATGTGGGGTCATTCAATTTCCTTTCGTTGCGCATCATGTTGAGAGTCGTTGATTGGTTGTGAGATTTTTGCGGGCTATTTTTTTGGGGGGGGGGGGATCCAGCGTTTCTTTTTTTTCTTCTCTTTTTTTTTTTTGCACATTTCGGTCGGCATTTGAGGATCGTTTGGCTTTTTGGGTGACAGCGCGTCATCCGGTCTGGTGCGAGGGCTTTATGGTTGTTGAGGGGGGACGGCGAATGCCAGCCATTTGGGCAGCCGCCGCCGCTGCCTCCATCCCTCGCTAGGGTCATGTGTAGGGCGAGAGCTCGCGGGAGGGGGGGGTTACCGTACCGGTGGGAGAGTGGTCAGCCCGCGCTTAGAAAGTAGCATGCGACGGGGGGTTATTGTTGTTGTTGTTGTTGTTGAGTGCGTATTCTCTCTTAGCGCGGTACTCGTTCTCTATCGTGTGTGTAGTGAACTTTACGAAAGGAAAAAAGCAAAAGAGGTAGAGAGAGTAGAGAAAGCGGGCTCACAAAAATATCGCAAAACACATTTACGTACGTACTTTATTCTATAGGCAGCATCAGGCTTTTTTTGTTTTGTGAAATGTCGTGATGTCTCGAGCGTTGTTGTGGTTGTGGGGTGGATCTGGGCGTTCTTTTTTTCATGTTGAGGACCTCGACGTTAGTGCGATTCTAGGCCCGAGATGGATTTTGCATGAAGAGATGGGTTTGGCATGAAGAGGGGGCGAGGGGGGTTAGCTGTTGATCGCATGGGCCCCCAAGTCAGGAGAGGCAGAAGCGTGTGCCAAACACACGAGAATAGGGCAGTATTCTGCAAGATTCAGAAAAACGTATGTAGCGCTGCGCAGCATTCACCAATATTAGTGGCGAGCGAGAGGAACAGAAAGGATCGAATCGATCGTCGATTTCTTTTCTTTTCTTTTATTTACGCAGGAGTTGAGATAAAAAAGGAAGATACGTGGTACCCGAAAAGTAGAGTGATGTGGCCACGCACACATATCTTCCTGTGTTTTTTTTGGGAAGGAAGGGGGGGGTAGGGGGGGAGTAGAAAGGGAGGGGCGGGGGCGTGAGCGTGAATGTTGTGAAGTTTGTTGGAAGTGCAGACTTGGAAACAAGAGTGATAGACGCAAGTGACCTCCTGATCTGTCTCTGTTCTTGGGGGGAAACGTGGACGGGCATCAGCGCCGGTGTGCGGTGGTAGGTAGGGCTAAGAATGGGCGCGTGGTGTCGCTGTTTGTTGTTGTCGGGTGTCAAAGAAGGGCGGGCGGGAGCTTGTGTAGTAGTGCGCGCCCGCCAGGTGTAGTCTGTCTGTACCAACCGCTCCCTCCGCCGCCGCAACCGCTGGTTGCAGCGTGGCGTAAATGCCGTCGTTTCGTGGAGAGCCGAACTGGTTCGGCTTGTGGTGGTTCTGACGGCTTGGTCCCCACACGACGTGGCCGTTTTTTTTCTTTTTTTTTTCGTGTCCATGTGGTGGGTTGTGTTAAGCGTTGTTTTAGCTTCTTTTTCTCTTGTTTCGTCGCTGAATTGGGTCAGACAAAGAAAGGTCGTTTTTTTTTTTTTGTCCTTTTCGCTGAATTTTGGTTGGGCAGTCAAGGTCGACATTTTTTGTTGTTGTACTCTTCTTTTTTTGCTTCTCGTGGTTGATGATATATCGTCTTGTTTGGTCGTAGCAGCAGCAGCAGCAGCAGCGCGTGATGATACACGGCGCGCGGTGTAGTTTGTGTTGCGGAGGGACTCGTTGCTCACTCGTGTTTTGCCAAGCCACAACGAACAAACGATTTATTTTTGATCTTGCACCCGCGCGCGAGAGGCACGCGTTCGTACGTACGTCGTGGACGCGCATCTCACGGCCCCCCCACTCGCTACCAGGGGAGGCCGCGCGGCTGTAGGGAGGGTGCTGTGTGCGACGGAGAGGGGAGGGGGGAGGTCAAAGGCGGCGGCGCGCGGACGAATGAATGCGCTTGTTGCTCAGGAACATTAATGTATGGCCGGCAGGTACTTGGGCGCGCCGCTGATATTTGTAGCATCATACGGATGGGCAGCCAGCCAGCCGGCTGCGTTTCGGAGGCGAGGAGGGGGGAGAGAAGATGAACAGAAAGGATAACAAATGTACCGCGGTCGGGCAGATTTTGGTTTTGTCTGCTGCGGTTGTTTTTGTGCCCCGCTGCATTCGTTCGTCCGTTTTACTCTCTCGTGTGGACCGCTTTTGCTCGGAGCACGACCAATAGGCTGGGGTCTCAAAAGAGAGTAAAGCGTCGCAAGGGTAAGGAGGGGGGGGGGATTATTTGCAGTAGTAGGACATGGGTTGGACACCTGCTCTACTCAATAAAAAGAAAGGGGATAGCGAACAAAAAGAAAGGTCTTGGAAGAAACGAATTATATTAATCTGCAAACAGGAGCAGAGGCGGGTTCATTGTTGTCTGAACTGCTGCTGCTGCTGCTGCTGCTGTGAGCCGATGTGTTGTCTTGAGCGCTACTTTTATATTTCCATGCGGAGGAAGGGTGGGTTTGAAGAACAAGTTATAGGGTGGGCGAGCGGCAAGGATAGTAGTAGTGGATGTGCTCGGGAGCCATACCCCCAAGCGTCGTCGGGGCGGGTGGGCGAACGAAAGGAAGGCATGGGGAACGCAGTTGCGGATGAGTGTGGGGGGGGGGGGTCTTGGGGGAGTGAGCGGCTCTCCCTGTGGCGTCGTTGGTCCGAGTAAGCACCGGGGAGAATTGACTCAAATCTCACGGCGAAGCGACTAGGCTTTCCCCCGGTGTTTTTTTTTTTTTTTTGCGTGTTTGTGTGTGCTCGCTCGTTGGTTGAAAACAGGTATGATGGTAGTAGTGCTAGGTGGTTGGTCTCTTCTGACTAGCGCGTAACTGTAGGTACGTTTATCCTGTACTTTTAGCAGGGGGGGAGTGTCGGCAGCGGCGGCATCTCTCTCCCCCCGTGTTTGTTCGGCACTGTAGCGGTCAAGTGTAGGCAGGTACGTAGGTAGGTGTAGGTTTGGGTGCTGGGTTGGGAGAGAGAGAGAGAGAGAGAGTCAGGCAGCAGCACCGCTGCTGCGGCGTGTAACAACAGTTGGTAGCCGATCGGTCGCTTTCTTTTTAATTATCCTCTCGACGTTGTTGTTGTTGTTGTTGTTGTTGTTTAGGTGGCTGACTGACTTTGTGTCGTGTGTTTGGCCACACGGCACAAGAAGGAAGATCAACAAGTAGTAGTAGCGCGTAGAATCCGGGCGGCGTGTGGCAGTTTTTCCTCGGCGCGTACCCGCTGGCGCGTGGGTCTTGTCTGCCCTTGTTTAGTGTTTCATTAGTTGAAGCAAATTGGTTGGGTTGTGTGTTTTTATTTTTTATGAGATACCGGAGCGCTAGTAGCTGTTGTTGTTGCTGCTCGCTGGTTGAGGTTGTTTCTTTGTTTTACCTCAAGCTGCTCTTGCTTGCTGCGCGGAGGAAGGCAAAACCAATCAACAAGAACTTGCGGAGTGAGTGGCAGAGAGACACGGTGCGGTAAAAAAAACGCAAGAAGATTTGGAACTGGCGCTCGCCGCTGTTGTCGGGTGATGCAGCCCGCACACGACATAGGGGTCCAGATTAGATGATGATGCGAGACCCGAACTATCGTCACGCACGCACGAACGGCCTTCGTTCGTTCGTTGTTGACAGACGTTTTTCACGGGATGGCTGACGATGGGTTCAACAAGCGTCTGGTGGCATCCAATGCTGCTGTGCTGTCTTGTTTGTGCCGTGTGCCAACGAACGTCAGCAGCGTACGTACGCAAGAAACGAGCGCGTACGCATGTATATGCATGCACTGCAAACTTATTTTATCAGCCCCAACGCAAGAAAAACAGAGAGAAAGGCGCTTTCATCTATCCCACGAGAGGGAGCTCGGGGTTGGTCGCTATTCTACGTGCTCCCTCCGGTAGGAACCAAAGGAGCGCGTGTACATGATACGTGTTGAGGTATCGCCCAAGCTGCCACGACAGCTGCTGCGTGAAAATGAGCAGTGAGTGGCGAGTGGAGAGATCCAGATGGACGAACGTTCTGAAGCCAGGGTCGCAAGCTCTCAATGTGGCGATGAGAAGTCGGATGAAGCCGGCGCGTAACCCACGCTTTCTTAATGATGACCACTCGCTGGTAGCGAAAAGCACCTAAAAAAACTTTTTGTCACGCGAAACACCTCCTCCACACCGAAGGTTCAAAAACATAAAAAAAAAAAATGTACGGGAAGCGTAAAAATCTAAGTCCGTCCATCCCCGGTGCTAAAATAAAAAACTCTCGCGCGGCCATCCCTCCTAATCTGCGGGCACGCCACAGGAGCCAGACGCAAACACTACGGCGCAAGAACAGTGGCCAACGAAACATACAACAGCTCGTAGCCTCGAGCTACAGGGCAACCCCGCCTTCACGTGGTACCTGTCGACGCCGAAAATATAGCCCCAAGGTTATGGTCTAGAGAGACGAACGTTTGGGCTTGCCTCCTTTCGAGGACGCGTGAAGCAAATAGGAATGCAAAACATGAGTGCGCCTCCCCCCCCGCCCCCCCCCCCCCTCCCCCTTTTTTTTTTTTTTT